TTTTCAGCTATGATTGTATTAGAGATGAAAGACTGAGACAAGGCTTTGGGTAACACGTGGATAAAGAGAAACAAATATCAAACAGACAAAGTGAACAGGCACACAGTGAAAGAGCTATCTAAAATACTGCTGTTGACAAAGAACCGGGAAGGCTTTCCAATTTACACAATCAATGGACCTCTGCTGATGCTGCCAGCTGAACATTTGCCTTAATAGATCTTAGCAATTGATAAAAGTTGTCTTTTAAGTCCTTACCAAAGAGCCTGTCCGCCAAAACCAAGAGAGAGCATGCCTGAATGAAAAATATCTCAAGAATTTCTGACGAGAGGCGTTTTGAGAGAAGCTACTGAGAAAACCCCTGCTAGCATGGAAACAATAACACTCCGCCAGACATAGCAGGGTGCTGACAGGCAGACTGCTTGGGGAGCAAGAGAAAAAAGGGGCGTGGAAGCAATCTCTTACCATGTTCCAAACTTAAAAAAAGGACCCAAAAACTCAGACCCCTGCGAAACCTCAAGTCATTCCAAAATGTGATGGAGGAACACATTCCCCAGGGCGGCAGGCTTTAAATGAACATATTCACAGCATGAAATTGTCTCTGCTCAGCAGCCCTTCGAACGCAGCACGGAAGATAACCAACACGCCCACTGCAGTCGGCATTCAGAAGCTAGGCAATCACGCAGGTATGGGTACCTAGCCAGGAGAGCTATTTTATAATGTCTTCAAATCAAACCCGGAGTAACAGCACCAATGGAAAAAACCATAACTGCACAGCTAATTGCTGCTGGCTGCAGCTGACTGTGACAAGCAGGTTGTGAGACAATAGTTCCCTTTTAATTGAATAGTTGGAGTGACAAGGCTGAAATATTCTTATGTTCCAGAAGTATCAGCGAGCAGACACCACCTGCTGTTCTCACATTGTATTCACATGTGTGCTAAGCAAGCACAATGGCTGTCACTTTGAATTACTGGGTTTGAACATCTTCATACACAAAGTACTGAACAAGGAAAAGTGGTGTCAGATCCCTGAGTTCCAGAAGCCACCAGGCTGATTTTTTCAGAAGTATTTACTCCAAACCCTGAAGGCTTCTTCCCGCTTCCTCAGTTGTTGTATGTACCAATGCAAACAGCAATTCTGCCCTCTGTATGCACATACAAAAACTATTGAAGCGGCCAGATCGGTGTCAGTCACATAAAAACTGTGCCACACATTTCAAAGGTATTTGAATAAAGTAAACTCTTAACATTTCCTCGTTAGAAGAAACTTAGCTTCAAAGATGCAGCCTGCCTCAGTTTCTAGAAGTTAAATTCAGTGGTTCACAGTACGCGGAGCTCTGTACAACCACACACGCAGACCGCGACGCCAGCAGCTCACGTTCTGCAGAACCCAAATCCAAATAACATCCTTACCCGTCCTGTACAGCACAGGTCTCCACTTTTTCTTTCAGTGGAAAACCAAGTTTGTCTGACTGTCCTCCAATTTGTGTAGAAGAGAGAATAAAGGTTAAGATTTTTTTTTTGTTGTTTGAAAACACCTAAAGCAGGGAGCCAGCAGCAAGCAAAATCTTCTCTCAGCATTCATGTCTGGATTTATTTTGGTTTTTTTAGAGAAGAAAGCAATGTCAGACAAGCGACACAGTAAGTACAACTGCTTGTTGCTTAAGCACATCTTAAATGCCTTGAAGGGAGAAGATGTTAAGTACAGACAGCGACCCTTCTGTCGCGTGGTGCTCGCCTGGCGACTTCTGCAGCAGAGGCTGAGCAGCCCCCAGCCTCAGCTTCCCAACAGGGAGTATATAAAGCTGTAAGTATGGTCTGCCCTCTCTACTGAGAGCACAAGCCTGCATCCCTTCTGCTCCGACATGAGCTGGTTACTTATGGAAATCAGCAGGGTCTCCTCCTTAAAATGAGGAGCTGTAGTGCCGTCATACTGAGATCAGAGGCTACATCTCAAGTTCGTAAGTGTGAGAGACTGCCGTGCACTGATGGGGTCAATGCAAACACCTTCTCCTCTGCAGCTCTGGGGAAACCTTTGCTGGTTCCACATTTCACACCTTAGATGTGTTTCCATAAAAGCCGATCCCTTGGTGGCAGAAGAAACCCTTTGGTATGTGATGGGAAGTTCAAAATTCAAATCATGTAGCTTGATGCCGCCTTCTATTTCTAATTATAGATTAAACAGAACAAAGCCTTCACAATAACCGCAGGGTATGGGAAATGCAAACTTCAATAATGTAGAAAAGTGGTATCAGGTCAAGACACATGCTTTGAAGAAAGTACTTGACAGATGAGAATTAATGTCCACAGCAAGCCTACCTCAGAAGGGGCAGGTCTGAGCTGAATTTTTAAGTACAGAAAAAACACCAGCAGAAACATCTTCAAGTCTTTCTGAGCACAACAAGCCTAGCTGAATCAGCTGCACTCCTGCAAGTCACCGCAGTGTATTGACCATGCAAAAAGTTGCCAAACTTTATTAAACTTATCCAGCGGGGTCCAAAGGCTACCTGAATTTAAACCTCTCAAACCTGAAAACAAAGACATCGACAGCAAAAGAAGCCTTTGAAAGCTAAAACGTATACCATGAGTGTACACAGCACCTTAAAATTATTTTGTCAAATACCATCCCAATCTCCTCTGAAGCAACCACCACTCTCAAATACTCTGGTTGAACCAGAGAGGTGAGTTGGCAGATTCCCCCTTCTCCCGAGTTGAGCATCTACCACCACCGGCTGGAAGGTGGCTGTCAGCAACCCTGGCCATTGCCAAACCTGGGAGGTGCAGGAGGACAGACCAGACACCCAAACAGGGTGGATGCACCGCTAACATGCCCTTTTTCATGTTCTTTTCCACTGTTGAGGACCACGTGCTGTACATAAGGTGATTGTGGGAGTTTTATCTTTTACTGACTTATCTTTTACAGAAGGGGTTTTTTGGGGGGTAAAGATGGGGACTGGACATTTTTGGTAAATCGGGAATGGATTACAAAATGTAAAATCAGTATCCAAGCATCTCTGAGGTACTTCTGTTTGCTACGCCCAACTGCAGCACAAGCTTTAACACTAGGGGAAAACAGGTGATGGCCTTTGTCCTTTGTGACAAGGGGGAAAAAACCCAGCAAAAAGCGATGATTGTAATAGCCTAATTCTGCTACAAGCTGCCAAACCTCAGAGCATCTGCTAAAAGCACACAGAGTCTCTGCCAAAGAACAACAGGAGAGTAAGAATCGGCAACAGAAACAGAAGATTGCTCTTTCCCCCCTCGTCTTTTATATATCTGGCTTTGTCTCTGGGAAAGCTGGGTCAGGCTCCATCCAACAACAGGGCAGTGAGCTCAGCCCTAGCCCCTGGCAGCTACATATTTTTCTTTTCTCTCTCTCCTCACACTCCCAACCAAGAAAGACAAGTTATTACCTTCTTTAAACTGGTTTGGCCAGCTGACAATTATAGATGTATCAGAAGAAGGCCAGGAGTAGGAAGGGAGAGGAGGCAGGGAAAAAACACAAAAGAAACAATCTGGGGCCACAGGATACAGTTAAGGGAAAAGCTATATTCAATATTTCACATTTGAAATATTTCCATTTCCTAAAATAATTTAAATTCTTTTTAACCTCCCATCCTAGAAACTCAGACAAGCTGCAGCGTAAGAAAGCAGACCAAGCCTTTGCCTGAAGTTTGGCTATTTAAGGTTGCAGAGCCTGGATCCTGTTAACACTTGTTAATTCTTAGCCCCTTTATTCTGTTAATGTTTCTTTTCTTCTCTGTCTCCTTGGCAATGACTATGCTGGCTACTGTTCACAGTGGCCACATAGCCCCTTCTCCACTGCCCTGCACCTTTGCATTGACCTTCCTTCTGCTTCTGTGAGAGGACTGAGCAAGCAGGGACAGGGACGATACTTCTCTGCGTTTAATAGCAGTATGCGGTTCCTGCAAGTCCACCCTTTCAGTGTCTTGTTTTGAATCCAGACATTGCTGACTCTGGCCTGCTCAGCTGCACCCCTGTGGCTCCTCTGTCTCTGCCATGATGCCTGCCTGGTTCCTGCCATGTGTTACCCCTACTGGAAATCTTCCCCACGCAGTTCCCACCTTCACCTCAGCCATCCTTGGCCAACTGACCCTGGAGGCCTCCTAGAAGGACATGGGAGGATGCAAGAAGAAGCAATACTGGGGCTACAGTCCTGACCTTAACGAGTGTCACTCAATGGGTGGGAGAATCTGTCTTTTGCATAGCCGCCTGCACTTGGAGGACACAAAGTGGGGAAGAGCCCTGCTCTTCCCAGTAAGCTGTCCTCACTTGAATGAGAAACAGCCATGACTCTGAATGCAGAACTGAGCATTAAAATGTGAGCTATCCTCCGTGCCTTACATGTCAGAGGGGAGAATTTCAACAGGAGATGGGGGGCGAGATTTGAAGACCGTCTCTGTCTTGTTCACACTACCTTTCTCTTTCTATAATACATTGCACTCTCTAGCACCTGATTTTGGCCTAAGGAGGATAAATGATCCTGTCAAGATAGGGAAAATGTGAAAAGGGAAGGGAAGTTCATACAGTACAAGTGTGAGAACTCTTATTTTAGTCTGACATATTATCTCCATCACTCATTTCCCACCCCCATCCTTCCACCACTTAAGTCCGTCCTTCCTTTTCCCCAATCGTTTGCTATATTTATTACATGCCAAGTCATCTCTCTCTCCTCTTCACTCCTAATCTGAATAGCTACAAGCATTGGTAGGTCACCTAGGAATTAAAAAAAGTTTTAAACAAGACAGAGAGAACCATCATGGATCCCTAATGCAAGTTTCTGAAAGGCAATCCAAGTCAACATATCATGTTTTGAACATTGGAAAAAGTCCCCCTTAAAAGAAAAAGCACTGTTTGGTACAGCTGCAGCAGAGCAGGTGCTGTACTGAATACCTTATACCGTTTTATGGCGTGTTTCATCAATACTTGCATTTTTATGCATCATTTCTTATACATTTCTTGTTTCTACAGATAATACTCACTCTTCCCAGTTCTTTATCTTCAAGTGCCAGCACCCCAGTGCTTTCTGTAAACAGTTTTACTTTGACAACAGGCCGAGGGTGAGTAGTGGTGAAATCCCCTTGAGTTCCCCATCTGCAATAAAGAAAAGAACAGAATTTAACTGGGGCAGAGGACAGGCTTGAGAGTGATAGGACTGTAACCTTTTGTACAGAGTATTTATTAATGCACTTATTAATGAACTTATTTTCCAAACTTTTGAGGGGAGAGGGCATGAAAGTATATTTTTGAGCATCCAAAATTAAATATATACATGGGAAAATTGACTTTTCTCTGTGATAAGACAAATCAGGGGGTTTCCATATGACTTCTGTCATCAAAAATCCGTAATAAACTTTTTAATGGCAAAACCCAAAGGACCGACATTATATCCTCATAGGGGAAAACAGAACCAAGCAAGAAGCAAAGGAAGAAGGGGGAAAGAGAACAAAGGGGAAAGGGAAGACAATGTTTTTTCTATTAAATATATTATTAGGTTCAGTATCTTGTGCATATAAGTCAAATTAATCCAGCAAAGAAACATAGAATCACAGAACGGTTTGGGTTGGAAGGGCCCTTAGAGATCATCTAGTCCACCCCCCCTGCCATGGGCAGAGACACCTTCCACTAGACCAGGTTGCTCAAAGCCCCATCCAACCTGACCTTGAACACTTCCAGGGATGGGGCGATGTCTCAATTCTAAAAAAAATTCTGAAAAATTTTTATATATTTAACGTTAAGTGAATGAACTATGCAGAAAGGAAGAGACTTGAACAGAGAAAACTTTATGTTTCAATGAGATGTTACCACTTAGTATAAGCATGTAGGAAAAATGTAAACACAAATGCAAAAACTAGAAAAAATTGTTTATCAGAGTGACTATAGCTCTGCAAGATAATTACTGCCACACGGCTTCATGCTTTTAGAGAAGCTAAATTAGGCAGACAGACTTCTAGTTCTTAATCTCTTATCTCAGTTAAGACACTTGGTTTGTCAGCCTTTTCCCACCACTGTGTGCCAGTGGGACAAAAAAAGGAAAGTTATACGAATTAGATCGCAACTTCCTCTGACAAGCTCTTCCATTTTCCTAAGCAACTGCATGGTGCTCATTGCATTGACGACACTGGTTCCGATTCCGCTACTAAGCACAAACAAAATGCAAAAAGTAAGCGCAGCTCCAGCTTCTCTTTGTTTTTTTCTACTACTGGAGATAGTACCATTAGCAGAAACTAAAGAAATAAAGAAAATAGGTGACCTTAAGAGTATCCTCTAGAAAAGGATGTGTGACACAAGCTAAAATCTCATTTACAAAAGCAGTATTTTCATTTTACATTCAAGAATAATTTACACGGAGTCTCTCCATTGCTGGAAAATGAGGATACAGCAGTAACCCCCCAGCAAAGGGATGTAATAGGTGAAAGAAAATCCTTCAGCTAACATGAGTTACAGACTTCAAGTCAAAGGCTAGAAAATAATACACAACCAACCCCAAAATTTTTAAGAAAGTGGTGGTTTTGTAGAAACCGGTCCTATAGGTGGCTGAACACCTGCCAGACTACGAAAGTGAGGTTCACTGAAAATGAGCCGAATCTTACATTACATTCTGTCATCTTTGCTTTGTCTAGATTAGATAGATGCTCGCTCGCTCTATTTGTGGTGAACATAGCTTCAGCTAAAGTGGCAATTGAAACAGGGACTCTGACAAGAAATTACCTTCCCGGAAGGGAAAAAAACCCTGGTTTGTGATCTGATGATAGATGCTGCAGTCGCAGGACAAGACAACGCCTAGCACTGCTGCTCTTCCCAGCGGCAGTCCCAGGGGTAGCTTTTGTCACAACACAGAAATGAGATTTCCAAGGTGAAAGCATCTTCATAAAAGATGAGATAATCGTCTCTTCCGTCTCTCCCCCCAGATCCCACTCCTCAGGAAGAATGCTGCCTTGCAATCACAAACACAATCTAAGCACTTTGTTAGTTGCACTCTCCCTCTCTCGGGCACCAGGATAATTTGTCCCTCAGCTTCCAGAAGCCTTGAACTGTGCACATCGCAATGGATGGCACCACACAAATAATCAAGAGAAACGCCTATTGAAATAACAAACCAAAAGCCTCTCTGCAAAGATCTAGTGCCAGCATTAACTCACAGACAGGAGAAAAGAAATCAGAAGCTGCCACGCTAACTAAAGGGAAAACACCCAGCCTGCTCAAGGAAGAGAGCATCACCGGAGGCGGCTCAGCTCCCGCAAGCCAAGCAGCAGGTACACGCTGCGGCATGTGCTGGGGTCTGGGCACCCCAGCATCTGGCTCCACGACCTCCCCAGAAAGTGGCGCAGCTTCTTCTGGAAACACATAGCCAGGCTCCATTTCTGCAGGTCACAGCAGGGAGGGATGGGGCACATGTGCACCTTGCCCAGGGAGGAGCCTGGCAGAACTTGCTGCTTCTCTAATTTGGATGCACTGACGTGGATGGGACTAACACTGGGTCATCCACCTGTTGCTCACACTAACGCAGAACTGGAAATCATCTTTAACATCAGATCTGATCACTATCCTTGACTGACATCTTTCTCCACCCTTTTGTCCATCTGCAGCAGTAAGTGAAAATCCTGGGCTGGAAAGTAACGGTCTGAATCTATTCCTAAAGCTTAATGTTCATGGTGGAAACATTCCATGCATTGATCTTCACACTCCTTGCTGATCAGGACTTCAGTGAACCCTCCTAGCCTCTTAAGACCACGTCTTTGGAAGTGAATTATCTGGTAGAGCAGATGGTTACAGCCTTTACTGCCTAGACTTTGACGTCATTCCTCATGAAAGAGCACGTGAGGAATCATGTTCGGTTAGAAAAGGCAAATCCACGATTGTGTCCTTTAGCATTACACTTACTTGCGGGCATCTGATATTCCTCCCAGCTGCCAATATCACAGCAAACAACACAAGGCTCACAGCTCATCTTCCTTACTATTCCTTGTGGATTGTTAGAACACAAGCCCTGTTTCTTTGGAGCTTTGTGTTGTTGCAGAGGTATCCTTCCTCCTACCATGTGAAATCAGAAGTTGGGAGAAACCAGCCAAAATAGAAATGGTATCACGATCACTTTAGTTTGCTTCTTCCAAGAATGAACATGGGTGTGAGAGACCCAATAATCTAGACAGAAATTGAGTTTAACAATATGCTGTACATTTAAAAGCACATGATTATGTTATTATGCATGCTATTAATGAATCAGGCATTAACTGAAGTGGAAGTCAGAAATTACAGCGTAACCAAAACGTTTAATATTGAACTCCCAACTGCAGGGTAACCCATATGAACATTGCTGCTAATAACAATTCACAATTTGCATTTTAGTGTTCTGTCAGTATGAAATGAAGTGTAGTAGTAAGAACGGCCTTACCGTCTGCATTTCACACTGTCAGCCCCCACTAATAAACTCCTGTCTTGTTAAAAATAAAATTCTGAGCTGTAAAGATCATGCCATGATAACAAGAAGATAGTGGGCACTCAACGTTTAATAAAGGTGATCCACAACAAGGGATAGACTGGGTAAAGCATGCAGGTGTACATAAGCTAGCCTACTTAGAAATACACCTTACTGTTCTGAAATCAAATTATATTGGTGCTCAAGATCTGACAGCTTTCAACTTTTGTTTTTCCTGGCTATTTCTTTTACAACACCGGTTCATACTCCATCCCACAAATTAACTATTTGTTTATTCTTCCTATTTATGAATAATACTTCTTTTCAACCAAATTCCATTGAAAAGGATATCACACTTTCAGTTTCTGTATCTGAGAGGCTAATAAGACATATCAGATTTTCAGTGTACAGGTCATCTTAAAATTACCTACAACATAACTGCAAACAATAACTTTGGAGTAGCTACGGTCCCATCATCATCTGTGACTAAGAATGGTGAAAGTAAATAGCATCAACCCCATATATATAGTGCCAAAGTCATAAATATAGCCTTCCTAGCCAAAAAATATGAATTTGCTGAATCACTTGTCATGTTCACTGTAAAATTCTGTCAACTTTCTCCATACTTTTGGTTATTTATTCTACAATTGTATGTCTGTTCAAGGAGCTGTTAAGTTTAATGGTGAAAAATAGGTTAGGCGGATACCTAATAATTCACAGAATCAACATCCAAACAGTAATTAACATGATGAAAATCTTGATCACCATTACTGTATTTTCTTATTTAAATTTATAGATTATATGTGCTAATATAATTATATCTACTTGGTTGCTGACAAATTTAGTATTTTTCTTCCAAAACACATTTGTCTTCAACCAAATGCATTTATTAATACCTATTGAAACGCTAATATTTCCTATTCTCACTTCTGCTTAATCTCATTGGAGCACCTGTAGTGGAACATTTCCTTTAAATTTAAAAGCTAAGCTGCTAGGTATAGGCCAGACAAATTCATATTTTTCGTTTAAGGTTGAGGTTGCACTTTGGTATTTTCCTGGAGAAAATACAGCACTTCTCATAAATGTCTTTCTAATCCACAGATTAAAAAAAGTCAACCACCATACAAAGGATTGTTTGTATTATTCATAAAACGGAATAACTTTTTACTTGCTTAATTGAATAACTTTTTGGCTGCTTTTAAATAAGAACTAACAATGTGGCTTCCAGAATTTGAGCACTGAATAAAGGAAACTTATTTATATTTTAACTTTCAACAGCAACAACAGTGAAATATTTTCTGCAAGAAAATAAATCCTACAGGTGACATACTTTTCACAGAGGGGAGCAGGTAAACCTGCAGGTTGTAACTTGGTTTTCTGTGAAAACAGAAGGAAATCATATGCACCATTTTGATTTTGTTTGAGTCAAAATTTGTTGCAGATCGTTTCTTTCAAGCTGGCTTTGCTATCGAGATACTGAACTGTGGAAGGAAGAGTGAGAAGGAAGAACAGGCAAATTAATTCACCTGATTTCTGAAACTGCTATTTACAAAAAGTATATCTTCAATAATTCTTAACATAAGAGAAAAATGTAATGCTTTATATTTGTAATAGTGTGTGTTGTAACTACCAAATGTATGCAAGCAATGGAAAGAGCAAATCAGCCACTTCCACA